AGTAATGGATTGGTTTAAAATACTTCTGTGCAGCACTTTGAGCTCTGACTCTGCCAGGGAGGGGCTGTGGAACCTGCCCCCACATTTCCCTTCTCCGCAGAGCAATGCTGTTCCTGCTGTGGGCAGAAATGTGAGCTCAGTGCAGTTCATTCCTCCTTTGTTCTGAGGACTTGCTCTGTATCCAGGAGCTCGCTTGTGTCCTGACATGTGTGCCACAGGATATGGAACAGTAAGTCTAAGACATATGAATTCCTTGTTATCTGGAATACAGTCATCAAGATGAAGAGACTTCAGGTTGTGAAGAATGTGCAGTCAGGAGAAGCAGCCTCTGGTTTGGTGGTGATGTGTGTGAGCTGCACGGTCTTGTGCCATCTTTGGGTGGCTTTTCTGTCTCCTTAGAAATCAAAGCAAGACCTTGAAGAGGAGGGCCACACGCCGTGCCAGAAGGATGGGATCGGTGGGAACGTCAAGCTGTGCCGCCTGCAGCCGCTGCTGGAGGTGCCCATCCGGGAGGCAGAGGCACAGCCCTTCGAGGTGCTCATGCAGTTCCTGTACACGGATAAAATAAAGTATCCCCGCAAAGGTAGGGCAGGAGGACAAAACAGCACTGGCCCATGGGGCAAACATTGGTTTGGAACAGCAGGATTGAGCATTTGGAGATGATAAATCCTGTTCTGAGCACTTAATTACTTGCCTGACATTTGTAAAAAAGCAATGTCTTTCAAAGCATACTAATTGCTTTTTTTTCTTCCAGATTCTTTTCAAATATCAAGGAAAACCAAGTTTTTGATCATTCCAAAAGGTGTAAAAACCACCTAACAAAACAAACAAAATTGTTGTGGCATTTTGAACATCACAGCAGCCTGGCTGGAAGGACCATGTGTCCTGGCTTGGCTCATCTCCTTCTTCTGCTATGGTTTTGATCATTGCAAACTGAGCCCACACTGAAAGGCAGAGCAGGCCAGTATTTATCACCTCTTCAAAATGCCAATCCCAAGGAATGCCTCAAGAAAGGAAAAATCTAATTGATGCATTCATTGAAGTTCCCTGAGTTAAAAGCACTTGCAGGCTGGGAGGTAATAGCCAGAGATCTCTCAGCTCCCACACAGGGAATCCAGCTCCTGGCTGTGTGAGTGATGAGGGCTGTGGGGCTGGAGAAGAATGGATACAGGGGGGAACTCCAGCTGCTGCGGCTGGGGACATTGCAGCCACGGGGCACAGTGAGGCGCAGTCAGATACAACTGTCCCAGGTTTGTTTCAGCTCCACTCCAGGAATCTTCCTTTCTGTAAAGGGAATTCTCAGGAAAAGAATGTTTGGTGTGCAGTTGTGCCAAAGCTTTCCCTGCGAGGAGGCCTATCTGGGAATGATCCCAATGAATGGGGTCAGGGGAATCTGCTCCTTGGTGTCTGCTGACATTGCTACACCCTGCCCCCAGCTGTCTGTTGATCCTCAGCTCCCTCATCCCAGGACAGGCTCAGACCAAGGGAAGGATTGTCCCACTGAACTCTTCCCATTGTTACAGGCTTCCCAGGCAGCCTTTTCCCCTTCCCCCAGCCCATCAGAGGTTCTCCTTGGCACTTCCCTTTCTGCTGGGATGCTCCAGTGGCCCTGCTCTGCCCATTTGTATTCCTGGTTGCTCCTCAGTTCAGAGAGCAGCACCTTGGGGAGCCATCCAGGGGCTGAGCTAATGGGGTTGGGCATGCTTAGCAAATGGGATTTTCCAATTAGACACAGGGAAGGCACGTGACATGCAAGAGGGCTTTTCTCTATTAAAGAGTAGTTAGAGCAGATGGGCAGAGGTCTCCTGTGAGGAGAGCAAAGGCCATGGGGATTATTCCTCGAGTTGGTGTCCCAGCAGCCCTGTGGCAGTAGCCCACGAGGGTCCCCACTGCCCCTCTCTTCCAGAGCAGCTGTGGATCTGTGCACACACAGGCACAGAGAGCACAGAGTGCCTTCCAAAGGCTCTGGCAGATCACGCAGCTGATTGCTGATGCTGTGTAAACCCCAGGCCTCCTCAGGGCTGTTGGTAGCTGGGCACGGTGGTAAATGGGGCTGAAGCTTCAGAGCCTGTCAGAGATTTCAGAGACTTCACTTTCTTTTGAGGGTTTTAAAATACTGTGATCCAGATTGCCACAAAATCTTTGTCCAAACCCCCCTGGCTGTTGCATGCCTCAATTTTGAAACTCCTGGTTTAATATCAATTCAGATTTTATCTAACCAGCAATGGAATTTTTTTCTCTGTAACAATACTCCAGTCACTGCCGATTGTACCATTCCTAGTGCTCAGGCTGATGTAAAAGGAAAAGTTCCTCTCTTTGTTCTCCAGCAGTTTTCTCTCTTGCAATCCCAGGTCACGTGCAGGATGTGTTACTCATTATGGATGTGTACAAACTGGCCTTAAACTTCAAGCTCTCTCGACTGGAACAGCTCTGCCTTCAGTATATCGAAGCATCTGTAGATCTGCAGAACGTGCTCATTGTGTGTGAGAATGCTAACAAGCTTCAGCTGGATCAGCTAAAGGTAATCACATTCTGCACACAAAGTGACTGATAAGAAATGTTTAAAAATAAAATGTGTGTAATTAGTGTTTTGCCAGAGCTATCAGCTTCTGCAGATTCATCCTTCCTATAATTGCAGTTGCCTTAGTATATTTAGTGTGGGTTATCCTGCAGTGGCTCATGATACTCCGTAGGTTTTTTCACTAAGTACTCGATATTTTTGCATATCTGCTTTGTAGAATGTCAAGGACAGAGTGACTTTGTCTCCTCATCAGTTCACTCTCACTGCAGCAAGATGGAACCAGTGCATTTCCTGATCCTGCTGTGTTGCATAGAGACTGCAGACAGTTTCTGTTACCTGGGCTGGTGGAAAAAGTGTTCTCAGGCCTTTCATTTGAAAAACAAAATGTGCCTGTGATTCTCCATCTCCTGTGGTGGGTCAGGGGCTTTTGGGTGTTTGCTGACAGGGTAGAGTCAATCCCCCAGGCTGCAGCCTGAGATGTGCTGGGCTGGGCTGGTGCCATCCCAACACTGTACCCAGAGCCCATTCTGCTAGAGCTGCAGGGGAGCAGCTCCTGCTCCCAGTGCAAGAGCCAGAGAGGAACACTCAGTGCCTGTTTGATGATGTTCAGCCTGTGCACACCAGTGACTGCCAGCACAGTGGGGCTGGAGAAACCAGTATGCACCAGCACTTCCTCAGGCACACTGTATGCACTGGATTTAGGAGAGAAAATGCCTCCAGGAGGACAGCAGCAGAGTCAGCAGCAAGTATGTAAGTGCTGGACAGCCTTTGGTGTCTAGGACCATGGTGCCATCAGCTGCCCAGAAGCTCAAGCAGTGGTGGATCTGGGGCAAATAGTTTTGGGTCAGCCAGCTGTCCCCGCCTGCCCTGGCCTCCTGCAGCGTGACAGGATCACCCTGAGCTGGTGTCCTGTCTGCTCAGTGCGTGTTAGTCCTCGTGGGTGGGTGGTCTGCTCTTGCTGGCATCCCAGTCATTGTTCAAAGCATTTCACAGATGGGTCCTGGCAGATGCCTTTGGATCCCAAGTGAAATAACCTGGCAGAAAATGTACAGTAGTAATTATTCTTTGGGTGAATTTTTACCCACCTTACGGTGAGCTGGTAGAGATTGTATTTATTGCTTATCAAAGTAATAAGAACTCAGGAAAAGTTACTTTGGTTAAGAAAGTAACTGAGGGAAAACCTTCATTCACACTGGCAAATGAAGTGTCGTTTTCTGTCTCTTTAACATTAGAGCCTTAGGTCTGGTTCAATTGTCACTTTTCCACCACATGGATTTTCTGTCAGGTGTGTCACACAGGAGCCTATGAGAGCTCTGCAGCCTTGAAAAGGTTCAGGCAAAACCCACACAAGGAATCCTGCAAGCTCTTTGGACCCTTAATGGGTAGTGTCAAGATCTCGTCAGCCTTCTAATTACCTTTTGGTATCTAATTGTATTAAGAATTATTATGAGACAGCAACCAATCTTTGTTAGCTCTGTGAGGTCTTTGGTGTCTCCTGAGATTCCTGTTTTAGAAGCTTCAGAGCAGCTAGATGGGAGACAATCTTTTCCTTGCTGGTATTTCTAGCCAAGTTTTTCTAGATGCTTAGAATTGTCCTGAATTTCCTGTTCAAGTAGAAGCCTAAATGGTCACTTTGGAAGGATAAGGGTGTCACCACCTGATAGCTGCAGCTGCGGGATCCGTGTGGAGAGTCACAAGGACAGGATGGCTGATGGCACACGTCACGTAGTCACATCCATGGGATGCTATAGGATGACTTCACACAGTAAACCATAATTGTTTTTATCAATATTGGTGTGTTTTTAAGGAACATTGCCTGAACTTCGTGGTGAAGGAATCCCATTTTAATCAAGTCATAATGATGAAGGAGTTTGAGCACCTTTCTTCATCCCTCATCGTGGAGATTGTCCGGAGGAAGCAGCAGCCTCCTGTCCGGACCCACTCGGACCAGCCGCTCGACATCGGTAACTTCCTGCTCTAGAAGTGGTTGTGCTGCTTGGGCATTGCTAATGGCTTGTGCAGCCTGGGAAGCAGCCCATGGTTCTCCAGGTGGGATAACTGCTTAGACTCTTTCTCGGACTGAGACAGGGCACAGTAGTTCTTTCTCCAGTGAGCTTCAGTCAGAACAGCATCCATCAAAGTACGTGGGAGGCCATGGGAAACAGAGTCATGTTCTTGCAATAAACTATCCTGATTCTGTTCAGAGAGATGAGAGAAGGAGCAGAGGATGTAAAGAATGATCCCAAGCCAAGTCAGTGGACAGCCAGTAGAAGTGGCTGGGGGGGGGAAAGTAAAGTGGAGCAAGGAGCTGGCCTGCTCCTCAGTGTTCACCAAGATGGAGCAGGAGGAATATCTTGCAAGTAAGACACTGCTGTGTGTATGTGTGAAAGGAACAGGAGGTAGGGAGGAGAAGGCAGAGATTTGACTTACAATTCTATCATGGAATTCATCACAGACTGATTTGGGACTAGTCTTACTCATCATTTTAACATCCTGACACAGAAACAAGGGATGCAGTAATGAAATTTGCTGAGGCCACAAAGTTCAGAGGCTTTGGCAGTGTTGGTTTGGAATACTGCACAAAAATAATTGGGGACTGGAGAGAAAGAGGAAGAAGGCAGTCCTGGAAGGTCAAGTAGAAAGGCTTTGGCTGGCATTTGTCCCAGAGAGGGGAGGAGCACCGGCTGGGACAGCACAGCTCCTGTATCCAAAGCTGGAATGGTGTGAGAGACCCAAGCATCAAAAATTGACAGAGGAACTTTGAAAATATGGGTGAATTTGGATCATACTTGAATGTGCTCTCTTTCTCACTTAGAGTGTATTTTGAAAGGTCAATTAATGTGCTGGATAAAAAAAGCCTTTACTGCAGATTTGGGAAAGATTTTCATTAAGATACAAAATTTTATCTTCCTGGTGGTTGGAAATATTGAAAAGGGAGGGGGAAAATCAGATTTCTCATCTAGAGAGAGCACCTCTCAGTGTGGCCATGACTGGTGTTTGTGTCAGTGGCAGAGAGCAGAGCTGAGAGGTTTGGCTCTGGGATGGGCAGTAGGGAATGGGTTGTGGGGAAGGATGAAGCTGATTTTGCTCCAAGATGATGAAGAAGATCTTGGCTCAGATTCACCCTGAGGGTCCCAAAGCAAAGGGGAACTGGAGAGTCACAAAGGACAAAGTCTCTGGCTTGGCCATGTGTTAGTTCAATAGTACCTGCTCACCTGGAACTATCATGTCTTTATTTCATTGCATCTTTCATTCATACATTGACTTGCAGGAACATCTTTAATTCAGGACATGAAGGCTTACCTGGAGGGTGCTGGGACTGAGTTCTGTGACATCATCCTGCTGCTGGACGGACACCCACGGCCAGCACACAAAGCCATCCTGGCCGCTCGCTCCAGGTGAGCACTGTGAGCCCTGTGTGACCTGCAGTGTGGGCACTCTGTGCTCAGCTGGCTCCTTTAGGAGACAGGGAGGAACTTCAATCTGCATAAAGTGTAAATGCAGCTTTGCTCAGTGAGTGCAATAAGCCTTTAAGCAACAGTGATTAGATTTTTTTTTCCCATTTAGTACCCAGCAGGGAGAGATAGGAGGAAATTAAAACTGCAGTGATTCTCCAGAGGCTGTGTGAGAAGCTGCACTGCAAGACAAAGAATCTGTAGAATCGCAGGAAGGGAAAAAGGGTGAGAAACATAAGGTGTTTTCAGTGAAGTGGAAAGCAACAGATGTCCACTGAGGTCAGAAGGAGCTTTCTGACAGTGAACATCCATTCTGGGTCATGTGAAACTTAAATTTCTTTCTCACTTGCTGATATTTAAGTCTGGGTATGAATAAGCATAACAAAAAGTGGTGCATGACAGAGACTAGATTGTTCCTGTGCCTTGTGCAGAGACAAGGAGTTCACCTTGCTGGAGGTGGGACTGTTCTCCCTCTTCAGGACTGGGTGAGCTGGGTTTGCCCTGCGTGGTATGTTCTGTGGACCTGTACCTTATGTTCCACCCCACATTTAAGTGTTCACATAAAATCTCTTATTTCTAATGCTGTCAGGTTTTTTTCCAGTCCGAGTAACAATATTCAGTATTAGTTACTGTGGTATTTTACCAGAAGCCTTTCACAGCTCTCAGATCAGCCCCGATGATTGGCAGGCTGTAGATACCATGGAAATTCATAATGCTTTAAGCTCTCTACTAGGTCTTATGCAAATTAGATGAAAATCAAAGCACCATGTGTCCTAATTTTCAAGAAACAGACAAATTTCAGGTAGTGCTGATGGTAATTAGGGGGATTATATTTGGAGTTTTCACAGGCAGACATCTATGAAAAAATAAATTTGCAGTGTTTTTGCCAGGTTGTCACCTGAATCTGCTTCTTGGGAAGCTGCAGGTCTGAAGAGCAGCCTTTGAGCAGCCCTGGGTTAAACAATCTGTGTGCAGAATGTGTTACATCAGTTTCATTTCCCTTCCTAGCTACTTTGAAGCCATGTTCCGCTCCTTCATGCCCGAGGACGGGCAAGTGAACATCTCTATAGGGGAAATGGTGCCCAGCAAGCAAGCCTTCGAGTCCATGCTTAGGTACATCTACTATGGGGAAGTGAACATGCCTCCTGAAGACTCTCTGTATCCTTAAACCTGAAGGAATTGGAGTTCTGTCTGTGACATGCCCAGCAGGTCACATTCCTTTTGCTTTGCGTGGCCTGGCAGGATGGTCTGTCAGGGTGGCACTAGGAAGCCCTGCCCTGGCACTCCTGTCATGGATTTGTGTTTAACATCCCAGGGAGGCTGTGGCTGCCCCAGCCCTGGCAGCGTTTCATTCCAGGTTGGATAAAGCCTTGAGCAACCTGCTGTGGTGGGAGGTGTCCCTGCCCAGGGCAGGGGGTTGGGGCTGGATGATCTCTAAGTTCCATTCCAACCCCCGAACATACTATGAAACATACTGTGATCTCTCTGCTTTGTGGTTTATTCCTTAATGGGATGAACAGGTACCTATTTGCTGCACCTTACTACTATGGGTTCTCCAACAACAGACTCCAGGCCTACTGCAAGCAGAACCTGGAAATGAATGTCACCGTGGAGAATGTGCTCCAGGTAATTGGCCCTGAGCAGCTTTAATGAGTCACTTGGCTTAGAGGAAAACAGGAGTCTGGTCAAGTGTGTACCAGTGCAGGTCACTGATACTGCCCAGGCCCTGCCAGTGACAGTGTCCTTGTGTGGTGACACATGTGTGGGGGCACAGCCTTCAGCAGCATTGTACCTTACCTGCTTTTTGTGTCCCTCCTGCCCTTCCCTGCAGGGTTCAACAGGCATTGCTCATCTGGCTCCCCTGAGCTCCTCAGCTCCCATTGCAAACCTGTGTTTCTAAAGGTCTCTTTTGAGATGCTCAGCAGTGACCTCCAAACTCTTTCTGTCAGACATTTGTACCAGGGCAATGCTGATGTGCAGGTGACATTAGTCTTGTTTTATCAGTGATGCTGACAGGATCTGGCAGTGAAGTTTAAGCCAGCAAAAAGTGCTCTGTGGTAAGAAAGCCCCAGTGCCAGTGCCAGCTCCCAGCAGGCAGCCTGAGCCCTCTGCAGCACAAGCAGAATCAGTTCCAGTGTTAAGTGCTTTTGGCTCTTGCCAGTCTCAGGCCCTGCAGGGAGCCTGGTCCT